TTTTTGTTTTTGTTCTTGTTGTTGTTGTTGTTGTTGTTGTTGTTGTTGTTGTTGTTGTTGTTGTTGTTGTTCTTGTTCTTGTTGTTCTTGTTGTTGCTGCTGCTGTTGCTGCTGCTAATGCTGCTGCTGTCGAGTGCATGCCTCTTGACGATGGTGATCAGTATAACTGACCCTGACTCTTGCGAGCAATAGTAACCATCATAGTCATACTAACATAGTATTGACACCACTCTTCATGATTCAACATGTTTCCACATACTCTTGCTCGCCTGTGTAAGTTTAGATTTGCGCCCAATTCATGCCTGCAGGCCCTAAGCTCTAAATCCCTCAAGCCGGTAGTCTGTGCCTGGGAATTGCCCCATGGCAGCCGGAGTATTCGTGACATAGCACCAGGTGGGCATCCGGAGTGAACACGTGCGGAGTTTCGCGTCTCCTAAAGAGATCTGGGAATCCGCAGTCGGATGAGTTTAGTTTAGAACTAAACTGCCGTCCTTCTCGTCGGACTACGAGCTTGCCAGGGCGTGTAAGGCTTCAGATGGCGTCAGGAGATCAACTTCTGCCAAATCTGCAACCGGCATCGCAACTTCTGCCGGACATGCTGTCTCTATGCAAACCTCTCCAGAGTTGTTGATTTTCCTGCCGCACAGATCGCACATGCTGCGCGACCAGGCATCTCATCTGAGACGCTTCCAGATACTGGAAATTCAGGTACGCAAGTGTTGCCTTGCGGAGCCCGTCTGTGTTCCAGGGTGCTGCAAGGGTTCAAAAGTCGACGAGCTCACGTCTTCAGGAACTCGTCTGCCCTGCGTGGAGCTCTCGGCCCTTATCATAGGCCACAGTGTGAAAGGCGGATAAAGGTCAGGCCGAAGCGTCACGTGCATTCTCTTGGTTCGCACAGCGTCTTGTCCGATAGGATCGCTTCATCCAAGAATCCAATATCTGTTTGGCTTCTTCCAATGCCAACGGTGTCAGGGCGTTGCTGGCGTTGCAAAGAAAACTCTGAAGTCACCCTCAACCCAATTTACTGTCTGGCTCCTGGCGGCCGTCGATGTTTCCTTCCTCTTCTGTCAGGCGGCAGGTGTCGGCTCTGCCATGCTCACCGAATATGCGGGAGCGGGTCTCGAGACGTTGTGCTAATCCATCGTGTTTAGACAGTTGTCCATCGAGGACTGCATTTTCACATCCAGCTGTCTGGGAATTATCTCGAGAATGCGCTCGGCATTGTACGGCACAGCGACAAGCTTTCCGCTCGATGCACCTCATCTTTGGGCAGTTGGGCACCTGACACATACGCGGAGTTCCGTTGAAACACCGGGCGCCGGGCCGACAACAGCTTGGTACTTGTCCCCACCTGATCATGCGAAGCAGGGCTGAGCTGCTGATGCTGCTAAAGGTTCGTGAGCACTTTGCTTTGCCTCTGTGCATGCTGCTGCATACGAGTACTCGGTGCGCCACCGTTGTCGACCTCTGCTATCCCTCGAAGAATTGGTCCGACTTCGCGAACGAGCTGGCTCCAGGGGTCTATCTCCAGCACGCGCTCAGCGCTAGAGGGCGGAGCATAGATCAAGCCGTTCTCTGCCACCGCTGCAGCGGCGTACCTGCAGCGATCTCCCAAAATGCTACTCTTGCGAGTAGCCCGTTGCCAGTATGATCCGCCTGCTCCCGTCTCCAGCCAGGTCATGACCGATGTCCTGCGCAAGGCCGGTCGAAGGGTCGAACTCCAGGACTCCTCGGATGCCACGCAAAAAGCGAACAGATCACGGCGTCAGCTGTGCACAGGAACAACGCAGCTCTGACACGAAGAGCCCTTCAGACGAGGCTCGAGAAGCATCGTATGGAATACCATAAATCCTGCGATCTTTTAGCATGCATTGAAGCTGCTGCAGAGAACATGTCCACACAATTGTCACAATCAATCCCAAACACGAAGGACAACCCTGGAATCGTTGATTCTACGCGCACTCAAGGCATCTCAAAGGCTGTACAACATCCGAGGCAACCCTGCTTGAAACATCCCTTGGCCCTATGCCCTAGGCTGCGTGAGGCGCTTCCTCCCAGTCGGGGCCACTACAGCTGCCTGGTAGCGAAAGAGGCCGCGGGGAAAGGTGGGCCCCACCTGCAAGGGCAGTGGCTTTGGGCAAGAAGGGCAGAAGCATGCTTATGGCCCCAAGGCTGATGGCTGTGTTCCTCAACATTTGGGGACTATAGGGAAATCGGCAAAGTAGGAAAGAGGATGTGGGCTACGGTAGCTGTAGAGGCAAAGTGTCTGGTTGTGGCTTGCCTTCTTGCCTGCCTGTGCTACTGCACGGCTGGCTGCCTTTAGGCGACGGCGCATCACTGAAGTGTGGGCTTACTGCATGGAGGAGGTGATTCAATCACCAGATGGAATACGATGTCACGGCGTAATCTAGCTTGTGGTGGTAATTAGGACACAGCCGGAAGTCCAGCAAATCCTTCCGGATCCGATGTTCACATACACATTGCTGGAAAAGTTTCATGGGCGAGGTGTGGCGGAGCCAGCGGCATTCTCCCTGTGGCGACCCCTGTGTCCAACGTATCTCAAATCCTCCAAAACTCCGTGCAATGCCTCACGCGCGTCTCGCTGCCAAGGGCTGATCTCAAGGATGCCTTGAGGCGGGTGCTGTTTTGCGAATTTGAACTCTAAAGGGAACGATGCAGACATAGGACCTACTATTCGCTATTCGCAGTGGTAGTAGTAGTAGTAGTAGTAGTAGTCGTCGTCGTCGTCGTGGTGGTCGTGGTGGTGGTGGTGGTGGTGGTGGTGGTGGTGGTTATGGTGGTGGTGGTGGTGGTGGTGGTGGCGGTGGTGGTGGTGGTGGCTGTGGCGAAGAAGGTGGCCGTGGTGTTGGCGCCGGTACTGGTAGTAGTAGCAATAGTAGTGGTGCTACTACTACTACTACTACTACTACTACTACTACTAGCAGTAGTAGTCCTCGTCGTAGGAGTAGTAGGAGTAGTAGGAGCAGTAGGCGGAGTAGTAGTAGTAGTAGTAGCAGTATCAGTATCAGTAGCAGTGGAAGTGGCAGTGGCAGTGGCAGTGGCAGTAGCAGTAGCAGTAGCAGTAGCAGTAGCAGGTGATAGTAGTGGTAGTCGTAGCAGCAGGAGTAGTAGTAGTAGTAGTAGTAGTAGCAGTAGCAGTAACAGTAGCAGTAGTAGTAGTAGTAGTAGTAGTAGTAGTGGTAGTAGTAGTGGTAGTAGTAGTGGTAGGAGCAGCAGTAGCAGCTGGAGCAGCAGTGGTGATAGTAGTGGTAGTCGTAGCAGCAGGAGTAGGAGTAGGAGTAGGAGGAGGAGTAGTAGTAGTAGTAGCAGCAGCAGCAGCAGCGTTGGTAGTAGTAGTAGTAGTAGTAGTAGTGGTCGTAGTAGCAGCAGCAGCAGCAGCAGCAGCAGCAGCAGCAGCAGCAGCAGCAGCAGCAGTAGTAGTAATTAGTAGTAATTAGCCGCAGTCGTAGTCGTGGTCGTCAGCGACGTCGTCGCAGTCGAAGCTTTAGTCGTCGTCGCAGTCGCAGTCGAAGTCGTTATCGTGGTCGCAGTCGTACTTATAGTCAGTCGAAGTAGTAGTCGTAGTTGTAGTACTCGGAGACGTAGACTTAGCGGCAGTCGTAGTCGCAGTCGCGACCGTAGTTGGGAGGTAGCTAGCTCGATGGATGGGCTGATGGGAGCTGGGAGGTGGGTGGTGGGTGGAAGTAGAGAAACTCGTCGTCGTCGTGATGGCATTCCAGACTCAGTAAGGCAGAACAAGCACTCCAAACCGTCACCCCGCTAAAGCCTGAACGAGCCCAATGCTTGTCCTTCACGAGGTTCGCTAAGCCCAAACCAGGCTGACAAACCCAGAGCATAGTTTGCTCAAGACCTGTCGCCCATCATCCGTGCCTGCCTTGTGCGAGCGCGAAAGAATCAACCCAGCTGTCAGGCAGCTGCACAACAAGCAAATGAATAGCTAAGCCATGCTAAGCCCAAACCTTGATTCCCTCAAAGAATGTATCCTGCAATGCGGGCTTCGTCCTAGCGAGGTGGGAGGCAAAAATTCCCTGAAAGGCATCGCCCTTCGGCTGGCCATTGTCGCCCAACAACTGGACCTTTGCTGAGCAGAGGGATTGGCACGACAGGCCGGCCCGGCGCCAGAGAGTCCAAGACGTATTGAATAGAGTTTACATCATAGCTTGAAGACCTTATACTTAGATCATACTAATTATGGGACCAGGCGTGTTCCTTACTAGCTCCACGGGATGAGCAGGAGGCACCACTTTCCGCAGTCTGCTGGGTGCATTTCAAACCTCGACCGAGTGCGAGCGCCGAAACACGACCGACCCTGTTTGAAAGCCCAAAGCCCAAAACCCGAAATCCAGGATGCACTCCCCAAATCCCTGAAACCCCAATCCCAGAGCCATATCTGATATTCTCCGGCCAAAATCCTAAATCCCACGCTCAGAACACTAAACCGAGATTCGCACTCTGTGAGGTTTCTCGCCTGTGCCGGCGAGCGCCAGTCTCCTGTAAACGTGCTGACGACCGGACCATGTGTCCACAGTGGCGGGCAGGAAGGGCGTGCTGTTGTCATGATGATGATCAGGTTTGCACTGCTGTGACGACAGCACCAAAAACTGCTGCAACAGGGAGGAAGTACCATATCCCCGGACTCCTCTTCATTCACCTCGTTACCTCCTTCGGATCCAACCCTTCGAACGTCGGAAATCCTTGTCGTACTCGGTGCGAGTATTGCGGCTTTCATCGCGAATTGCTTGGTTTGGAAAGTATGCTACTTAGGTGTAGGTGGTAGTTCCGTGGCATGACCGTCAGTATTCACTCTTCTGGCTCGTTTTGTGATGCTACCATCACTACTATGCCCGACATTCTGAGAGCTTCGCACGCTCGAGCACGACGTGATATGGTCAAGCGATGCCTGTAGGGAGGGACATGCAAGCAGAGGGATGAATAGAGTTTTTGTATATCATACAGTATACATGGTGTGTATCATACAGTCAGCATTATGATGTCGGGCAGCAGCGCAGCAGCAGCAACATTTCGTTGCAACACTTGCGGTGGGTATCTGGACATGGGGGCCGGCGGTGTGTATCATGTCGGGCAGCAGCGCAGCAGCAGCAACATTTCGTTGCAACACTTGCGGTGGGTATCTGGACAAGGGGGGCCGGCGAAGCGTCATTCTACTCGCGGCTTCCGCCATCATCTTTAACACCGCCGTCACTATCATCGTCAGCAAAAGCATATGCTAGTGCTGATGCGAGGTCGAAACGTTTATGCAGAGACCATGTCGTTTGATACCTAGTCTGGTGTGTGCACCCCCCAGCATCGTTCGCATTCGAGACAGGCAATCATGAAGGTTTGTCTTCTTTGTCTTATTGTCAGAATCAGTGCTCGCTCGATCTAGCAGCTATCACAACTCAACTCAAAGCGTGCATGGCAATAACTTGATGGACATGTGGACTATTGAAAAGCCGTACCTATGTTGCTACTATCTCCTGGTCTTTTCCCGCCTGCGCTGCAGGATGGACAGCTGGACGGAAGGGTGATGTACACCGTGGCTGGTGGTACCCCTCAGGCGCCTTGTGCCGGACAGCGGATCTTGATATGGCCCATTAAGGGGGGGGGGGCCTTGATCTTTGCTCAAAGCATCAGCAAGAGCAGCAACCACTGCAAGAACAGTGGTAGCAATAGCCGGCACACTGGAGCTGAACGACGAATTGACATTCGTGTGGTTCGACATGCACTGTTGCAACAACATGTTAGTTGATGCTGACGCACATATGTACGCGTAAATGTACTTGTACATGTAGATGTCCATGTATCGGGCTCTGTATATGCATATGTGCATGTATATGTGTGTGTAGCTGCAGACGTACAAGTGCATGTACATGTACATGTGCGTGTGCATATGTATATTTGCGAAAGGATAAAATGCATATACATGTGTGTATATACATGGACATATGTTTAAAGCATGTATGCATGCCTGTATGTGCGAATGTGTATACATGCATGCTTGCATGCATGTATGCCTCTATGTAACAGTTCATATGCATGTAGGTAGGTAGGTAGGTAGGTAGGTAGGTAGGTAGGTAGGTACCCAGGTGCATGTATGTGTGTGTATGCATCATGTGTATGTATGTATGTACGCATGCATGCATGCATGCGAGCATGCATGCACGCACGCATGCATGTATGTATGTGTGTATGTCTGTATGTATATGCCTGTGTATGTGAAATGTAGGAAGCATTTCGCGGGTGCCGCGTGTTTCAACATTTGTCTGTGTGGCCGTGTGGCTGCCTGCAGTAGTTCTTTGTTCCAGCAGGCCCCTAACGAAGTAGCTCCTGGCTCCTGACACCTCATGAAAGGCATCTCTGGCTTTTGTGTGTCAAGCGTGCTGACGTTGGTAAAGTAGACCTTGAAGCTCAAGGGCACTCCACTCTGGAGCACCCCTCCATTATTGGACTCACCACCACAGTATTCAGGCGTACTGTTTCTCATACAGTACCTTCAGAAGTGCTGCTCGAACGTTTAAGCCGTTTAGAAGTTTAAACCGTTCAAGCGCAACGTCCTGCTTCTCATATCTTCAGAAGTGCTGCCCCAACGTTGAAACGTTTTAGACGTACAAACCGTTCAAGCGCCCCAGACGTCGGTGGTGGTACTTTTTTATTGTTTTTTTTGTTCAGTTTTTTTTGCAGTTGTTTCCGGCCGCGCTGCAAGCAAGCAAGCAAGTAAGCAAGCACGCACGCAGGCAGGCAGGGAAGGAAGGAAGGAAAGCAAGCAAGAAAGCATGCAAGCAAGCATGCAAGCATGCATGCAAGCAAACAGGCAAGCAAGCAAGAAGCAAGCAAGCAAGCGAGCAAGCAAGCAAGCAAGCAAGCAAGCAAGCAAGCAAGCAAGCAAGCAAGCAAGCAAGCAAGCAAGCAAGCAAGCAAGCACGCAAACAAGCATGCAAGCAAACACGCAATCAAGCAAGCAAGCGAGCAAGCAAACAAGCACGCAAGCAAGCAAGGAAGGAAGGATTACTACAGTAGTACTAGCATTAGTACTATTACTAATGAGTACTAATACAATTACAGTATCAGTATAAGTTATAGTTTTAGTATTAGCAAGAGTAATTATTAGTTTTAGTATTGGTATTGTTATTATTATTAGTAGTAGCAGTAGT